TGACATTGTGTGTTCACAGGCTGTCCTCTGTTCACCCAGAAAAAGGGAGATTGTTTTCTCTTTTAAAAAGGACAACTTAAAGCATAGCAAAGGGAATCCATTTAAATGGTTCAGGTAGAACAAATGAAAAAAAAAAATCTCAGGTTGATACCCAATGATATTATCTGCTTAATTTTTATCCAGAAATATTGCATGGTGATATATTAAAATAAACTGTTAATAGATCAGAATGCTCAAGAAATGGGGATTATTCCTTTTAGTGGAACTTTCTGATGAACTGAAAATTAACGAGAAACCCAAGTTTTTGTGTATTTCCATCTTTTCTGCTGAAAAAGTTGTGAAAACATTCATTAGTTGATTTTCCTCTCAAATTTAAAGAGTCTAACAAACTCAATTAAATGTTTGATTCAAAGATTATGCATAAGCCAAAGTGACAAAGATTTGGTCTGAATTCTATCTTAGCCACTTATCAGCTGCGTGATTTGGGGCAGGTTATTTAACCTCTTTGTGTCTTAGTTTCCTCATCTGGAAAATAGCGATAATTGTAATTCGTGCATATTGCATAGCACCGTGTTTGGAACGTTGTAAGCCCTCAGAAAAGGTTAGCTGTTACCAATATCACTGTTTATTATTGTTAAATGTAAAGTAGCACCCTAGATGCAATGGGGGAATAAGAAAAGTAGGAGACCCAGTTGAAAACTCCAGGTGCTTGCTGTGCATGTAAGGGATGCAAGAATTACATCCATGAAACAGTTAAATTCCAGGGGGGTGCTACAAGTTATGAAGGTTCTTGCCAAATGAGTGATGCATACTTAAGGCCTACAGGGGTTCAGGGAGGGGAGACAAGAGCTGGGCTGGGCAGGCAAGGGTGAGAAAGAGAAGGAAGAGGGAGGAGAGGTGAAAGGAGGAGGAAAAGACATGACAGAAGCAGGCGAGTGTTGATTGACTCAGCGAGACGAGGAAGGGAGACAGAAAAGCACAAGCAAAGGGGTAGGTCAGAAATGAGCATGGCGTGCTATGGGGAACCGCTGTCATTATTTTGGAGATCAAACTTCCTTGCTAGGACTATTGCTGAAAAAGATGTAGGCAATTAGACTGAATGTATGCTGACCCCTGGGACTTTATCTAAATGGTTATACAAAGCATGACACAATGACCACAACAGCAAAAGAATAAACATTAAGATTTAAAAAGACTTAAAAAGGAAAAGAGGTTGAAAAAAAGACTTTCCTGGTGATCTGCCTTTCCCTGCAATAAATGTACAATCCTCATGAACCGATGTTCCCTGCAAGTGTGATTCTACTTAATTGAGACATTGGTGTATAATATTACGAGGCTGATCAGTTATGGGGGAGAACAAGCCACACTTGTGCAAAGGTCCCAGAAATGTTAGGGAGGGGGGCTATCAATAGTTATTCAAAATACCATTTGAATTTTGCCTGTGGATTGAGGTTGTCTCATGGTTTCCAGGCAATGAAATGAGGAGGAGAAGTATTGAGAGATGGACAGATCTTGATTTCTGGCCTTGGCTTTGCCTGTTACTCTTGAACAATGACCTTATACTTGTGAAAATGATTTTGTTATCTCTTCATGTGCCACATGCTAACCAGGATCACAGCTGCTAACCAGCCCTCTTACTTTATGTTTAAAATGAATGGATTAAACCCTCTCTTAAATGGAGTATTAATATTAAGCAGAATTTTGAGAGCATATAAAATGTTCACCTAATGGAAGAACAGGTTTGGCCACAGAGATGCCCTGAAGTCTAAGCCTCTATGTTAAATAAATAGCAGGAGAACCAATTTAGCACCTTGCAATATTTCTATCTGACTCCTTGTTGGAGTGGAGGTTTTGATATGATAGGTGGGCCCACAGAATTCACTGGACATGCTTGGAAATTCCTTCTGGTTAAATTGAAGAAATAGAACCATCCTGGGTATTTGTCGAAGTACTGGGGCAAGCTGGAGACCTTGGCCAGGGACAATCACATTGTAGGACCCCCTCTCTATCCTGACTCTCCCTCTTTCTTCATGAATATTTCAATCCTGCTGAGGCCCCTTCAGGTGGTCAGTTGAGTTAAGGAGGGAGGGGGTGAGAGGAAAAGAGAAAGGGCAGCCCCATTGCTTTACCTTGTGATGGGCACTGGAGAAGGAGATCTTAGGAACTGATTTGCACATGAACCTGAGTTCTGTTTTTCTTGTCTTCTCTTTTGTAAAGCCCAGCTGGCCAGAGCCACCTCCTTGAGCCCCACTGGCCACCTCCCAGAGACCCTACTCAGTTGCCAGTGCCCACTTACCACCCAGCTCCCTGTACTCCAGCAACAGTTCAGGGCCCAGCCATGCACTTGGATTTCTTTCTCCCCTGGGTCGCCACGGCCTGATTTTCCACTCCTGACTTCAAAACATCTTCTGCTTCATCTCTTTGTCTCCCATGTTCAAGGAGAACTGCTCAGAGACTCTTCCTTGGTCTCTGCCCTGCCTCTTATTTACTCCCTAAACCAAGATTCTTGGGCCTGGAATAGAAAATTGTGTTCCAACTCTGCAGTTCTCATAGAGGCCCTAGTATTGTCTGGGGGCTATGTTTCAGAAGGGTCCAGGTGTATCAATTATGCTGCCCATGCCTGTGTGCCACCTCTTCAATCACTTGTGTCCTTTTGTTTGTGAAGCACAACAGAGTGTGCTTTCAGAAAGAGTCTTTTGTATTCCTAGAGTCTAAAAATATTTGCATGTAAATGTTGGGAATCCAGACAGTCTCCTTAAGATCTACGCTTCGCATGGGGAGGCTTCGCATGGGGAGGCATACAGACCATCGGGGTGCATTTAAAAATTAAATTTACACCAATTACACCTTGGGTCCCTGCCACATAGCACTGCGCTAACATCTGAGAAGGAGAGAGTGTGACATTGATCAAGGCAAAGCATAAATAACCACATTTCAAAATGAATACAAATTGCATAATGACAGTTTCCAAACTATTAGCCTACTTTACAAAAAAAGTTAATTCAACACAAGCCCAGAGCTGGCTGTTGCTTATGTGTTGTGCTGCCAGTTGGCAAGCACAGCTTTGCAAGGGGATTGGGGGAAATGAGGGTTATTGTAGTGGAAGCACACTCGGCCTTTTGTGAGGAGGGTACAAATTGCATCACTCTCTCAAGCCCCTGCTGTTCAGCGTTCAAGAGTGGACACTGGGATCCTGCATGCCTTCACGAGAAGTTGCTTACTTTTCCTAGAGGTAAAATGGCCCAGTGCCGAGGCTTGGGAAGGAGCTCTGAGTTTACAGCCCCTTGAAGGAAAGATGGGCAGCTGGAGGTGATGGACACCGAGGAGCTGTGCCTGCGCTGCTTGCTGTGTGCTGCCCCTCGCTGGGCAATCCTGGCCGCCAGGGGAGGGCATGGCCTTCTCTGAGATGAACTCTGCATGCCACCTCAGGCAGGCCATGCCACTGCTCGGAGCCTGTGGCTCTCATCTGTAAAATGAAGGGCGTCACCGGATGACTGTTCAGAAACAATACCATGGTCTCTTCCTTTAAATCGAGTGTCCCCCAGAAGAAGAAAGGCCCAATGCTTGGAAGAGTGGCACAAAACAAGAGGTCTGGTTTTCTGTGGTTGCCATCCCTTTACTGCAGGACTCATGAACGTTGACAAATTTAAGGTGATCTTGTGTGAAGGTACCTCAAAGTGTCTGCTGGGAAAGGGGGAAGCTGTCTGAGGCAAACGTTCATTCTGTTTGGGTCACCCTACTGCCTTGACTAATGGGGAGGGAGTGTTAGGAAAGTCTTAGATGAATCCCCCTGAAAACAGCTTCATGTAGCACCCTCAGGAAGAAGGGTATGTGATGAGGGTTATGTTGTCGCCTCCAGAGTGTCCACTCAAGGTCTGAGAACGCCAGTCCAAGCTCTACGCACCACTTTGCACTAACTCCTCCACTTCCATCAATAGGAGCCCCTGGGCTACAGGAATTCAAGTTAGACAAAGTTGGATTTACCAATCATAAAATGTAGTAAAGGATTCTATTTAAGCACCATATATTACCTTCAGGTTTCCAATAATTCCTAGAGTAGTCAGCCCCAGACGATTGGGAGGAAAAATAATACATCCATAAATGCTTGGAGCATGCCCAATTTTAACACCTCATGATCAGAATGCAGGCAAATGCCTACTCTTTTGAAAATACTTCAGATCAAACTCTGTTCTCCTATTTTGTATATATTTACTGTAACTCTTCTGTTTAAAAAGTCACCTTTCAAATCTATCTCAAGAGAGACACTTGTATTCTCAGCTAAAGAATTATTTCTAGTCCCTCCCTTCCTTGCCCATTTTTCTAAGTACTTGTAGTCTAAATGATGGCTTGGGATTTTGATTCTTAGGCACTTCCAAGTTAGATCTCCAAGGTTCTGATCACATCTATTTGAAACAAGATCCAGGTTATAGTAATCTAGTTTTAAGCAAAAAAGGCTTTTTTTTGTCCCCCCAAATAGCTCATACCTTCTCCCTGCTTAATTTGACCATGAAAGTTACTGTTGTGAAAACTCCCCTGCATGCATTCTTCAATGTGAAACAACTTTAGAAAGCACTAGCAAATCCAGAAATTATATTACTGTCAAATGCTGAAGTGCCTGCACTCCTGAGATTGGGTTTGTAACTTTCCAGCCAAAACTAACATCTGCAAAGACCACCTATCACAGGTAAACATATTTGCTGATAGCCGGTTGTAAAGATTTTTAAGAAATTAATTTCCTTATATTAGAATAATTTCTTGTCCATGTCTTAGGGAACTTGAACTGCACTTTAAGAGAAATACTCTTTGTGGGATGATTTTAGAAGACCTCTCCCTTTTAAAACCGAGACCCAGGGAACTTTTTCTCTGCAGGAATGTTTTGTGTATTTCCTGTCCCCATCCCACCACCCTTCCTTAAATCATCGGGCACCTGGAAGTAGATACAACTTAAAAAATAGTATGAATGTCTCTTGAAGACCCCTTCCACTTATGGGAAAGGGTATTCACCTTGTTGCTTCTTCCAGGAAGCCCGAGATGGAAAAAATGTTGTCTGGGTCAGACTCGATGGCAGAGGTAACTGTGCGATTTGCATGCTGGATGCCGTCTGGCTTTGCGAGTCTGGGTGGCAAGGCCGGATAGGATCCTGGAGCCCTTATTTGTACAGACACAGACGCTGTACCTCCAAGAAGACTTAAAGCATTTAGAAACCTGATGCTTAACAAAAAGGGGTCAAGAAAGGGAAATAAAAATGGCTGGGTTCAGAAAACACCCGGTGGGGGGGGGGAGTCGGGAGGCAAGGGCAACATACATAACCTAAACATCTGTACCCCCATGATATGCTGAAATAAAAAAACAAACAAACAAACAAACAAAAACACCCCGTGAGGTGGCAATGGGCGTGCCTAGGTGCCTTCCTGGATATTCTTGTCCTGTCAGGGACTGGGGCCTCTGGGGTAGTGACAACCTCCGTGCTGCAGAAGTCTCACATTAGATACAGCTGCTTTGCTATGCTTGACATCCACACGTGTGAAGGCAGGGAAGAAAGGCACAAAAAGCATCACACAACACTGCAAAAAAATGTATGCTTTCTGGAGAAAACAGAGTCTCCCTTCAAACTGGGAGCACGTAACCGTTGTGAAACTTGTTTTGATACCCCACCTCCGGCTCACTCCCTGTGAGAGGAAATTCTAGCATAAACGTAACACCCTTATCTGAAGCCATTGCCATCATTTCATAGCATGACTGTGTTCATAAAATTACCACAAATTGCTAGAAATTGCTCAAAAGCAAAGGCTCTACTAAAAAATTAAATGTCTTAAAATTAGTGGGCCTGGCCTCTCCCCACCCTTGTCTCCTACCCAGGCAGATTTGCATGAAGAAGGCAACATGAATATGGCAAAGGTCTGACTGCTTCTTTTTAATGACAGATTATTCTGGAATATTGCTCAGGGGACCATCTTTTGCTTTGAGCAACACTAAACCAAAAGTTTCCCTTTCCGTGTTTAATCAGCAGGAACCTGGGATTCTCTCGAAGATGTTGAAGGTGAAAAAACACACTTGAAGGTGTGATTGTCTGCTTCCTAGCTGAGGAAGCTACAGTAATAGGTTCTCCTGGGCTGGAGGCAGAGAAAAGAGAGAAGAGCCTCTTTCTGGTTTTGATGGAGTCCCCTCTTGTGTCTCCCTTGAAGTTGCAGAACCTCTGGACCAGAATGGTTCCTATTCCCCCATCTCCTCCACAAAATGGGGGGCAGTGAACAGAATTTGGAGAGTACTGGGGTGTTTGACTGTCACCTCCCCTCAAGGGCCTGTGAGTAGCCTCTTAGGTTTCCCTTAGAGTCCAGGAGGTTAGCCTGCTCCTTCGCATAAATGGAACACGGCCCTGCCTGGAAATGGACTGTTCTCTCATTAGAGACTCACCCTTTCCCATCCCGCACATGCATGTATGTGCTCCCAAGGGGCAGGGTGGGGTTGGGGATTGGGGGGGTTGATGTGGAAGAAGAAATGTGCCGGTCAGTATAAACCTGCCACGGGTACTTGGTGAACTGGTGATGTGCAGGGCCTACTGATGGCGATTTAGGGATATCATTTGATAAAAAGGGGCCTCTTCACCATTCCACTTACATTCCCCCTTAGCAATTCCCATCCATACCCCACTAACCCCATTTGACACCCAAAACCAATACACTGCTAGTTCACACCTTTATTGAAAATGAAATTATGTGTCTTACAAAAACATGACACTCAATTCATTTTAACAGGTATCTAATGAATTCTTTTGATACTGTGCTGTGCACAATTTGTATCTGGCAGAGAAATACTTTGCAAAAAACTGTCATGAAGATACTTTAGAAAATGGGACCTGCATGATGACCATTGTTGGCAGGGGCCCATGCCACGTGTACAGAAGCCAGGCCAATGGGAGGCCCAGGTGGCCTAGGTACTATGGGTGGCCCAGGTACCATGGGTGGCCCAGGCATCATGGGTGGCCCAGGTACCATGGGTGGCCTAGGCATCATGGGTGGCCCAGGCCTCATGGGTGGCCCAGGTGGCATAGGTGGCCCAGGTATCATGGGTGGCCCAGGTGGCATAGGTGGCCCAGGTGGCCCAGGTAGCACAGGTGGCCCAAGTGGCCTTTGCATCAGAGGAACATATCTCCAAGCAGGCTCCAGAACAGGGATGGGATTATAGGGCCCATTCATGATCATCTCCACAGGGGGGCCCACGGCAACAGGGGCCATATCCCTCAACATTTGTGCCCTCTGATGACGTCTCCACTTGGCCCTTCTGTTCTGAAACCAAACCTTCATCAGAGGGGGAAAAAGGATGAGTTTAGTATACTGGACAGTCAATGTCATAACAGAAAAAGCACACAACATGCAATTCTATATGCCATTGAAATTTTACACTGCAACAGGTTAAGATATTTTCTTATTGTTGAAATATCTTAGGGAAGTAAATGGCTCAAGTCCTCCCATCAGCTAACCCTTAGTGAGCTAGCCTAGTCCAGAGCATGGCACATTGCTTTGTCTCTCTCCTCCCACTTTTACTAGTCCTTAATGGGTTTTTCTAGATCTTGGATGCAGGGCTAGCTGATGTATTGCATCAGGTCCCTGCTGTTAATGTTCAAGCCTGGTAACAGGGGAAAGAGATGTTGGATCATCAGCTGTCCAGCTGCTTCTGGCCCCTTCTCTTTAGGGATAGTGTCACCCTGGTTGTTGGGGAGGCTGAACACAACGTAAAAAGGGGACCCCAATTAAGGTCATATTGAGGGAACCACTCCCTGTTTGAAAAGCCCATCTTCAGTCTGAAGTAATTAATAAAGAGGAGCACGTTAGATTTTTAGACAGATTTCCTTCAAGGATGTTTAAGGACTCACCCCTCCTCTGAAACTTCTCGAGAATTAAACAGGTGGTGCTATGTCAAGGAGACTCATCACGGGGGTCCCAGGGACTTTCATGGTTTGTATTGCTGGGACATGAGAGTTGCTGAATCCCCAGACACTGCCTTGTTATTTTAGCCTATAGTGTTAAGGAAAGTTTAGCCTGACTGCATCCAAATTCACTAGACTCTCAAAATCCTTTTCCTGGACAAGACTTTGGGTACCCTATTGTCAATTTTGCATGTTCCAAACTGCCCTACCCACCAAACCTTCCTGGGCTCAGGACTCGGTCAGCTCATTCGGCTCTAGCTACAGTTTCAGGATTCTGGGTCAAAGCTACTGCTGCCCAGCCTGGCAGGGCACCCTAGGCACAGCCAGCCTCACTCCTTAACCACAGACCCCAATCCCATCACTCATTTCTAAGGCAGGAAGGTCCAACTCCACATTTTAGGAAGATGTTCAATAACAATGTGGATGATGGGGTCACAAAAAAGGTTCCTCCCCAAGTGTTTGCTAACTCTTAACAAACCAACAAACAAGCTGTCAATTAGACTTTACTGCCTTCTTAGCATACTAACTAATGAGGTGTACATTGTATTTAATCCTTTTGGAAGCTCCCAAACTGCAAATTTTAATTTAGACAAAAGACCCCTTTTCCCTGCCTCAAGGTATGTTTTCTCTCTCCCATCTTAGGAGATTTGGGGTCCTTCTGCTGCATGAATATAGAGTCTGAATAAGGCCAGTGTTACAGAGTTCTTTTTGGAGAGATTCAAATGTGCCAGTGGTCAAATCTCCTTAAACATAATCAAAACCAACAGATGGCAACTTTTGGTATGGGCACACATTAGGCCTATATTCCCAATGCTGATTTCATAAAACAGTTCTACTATATTTGCAAAAGAAAGGAGGGAGTGTCTATTAAAGATTCCTTAAGGGAGATTCATGCTATCAAGTTTGGAAACAGATGAGAATATTGTCTTTTTCCTTCTTTGTGTTTTCTGGCTCTTTTTCCCTTCTAGAAATCCATTGAGAAGGCTATGTAAACCCAGGAAAAAGGAAAAGCAACTCAGCAAACCTTAAGTTTTTCTTTTCCTCTGAGTTTGCCTTGCTTGCCTGAGAAAGCAGAGGCTCGTCATCCCAACTGAGGCTAGGCCTGACTGTGAGTCCAGCCTGTAGCATGAGGACACCAGCATTCAGTGGCCTGCTTTGCTGGACACTACCAACAGATATATAGTGCATTTGCATCGCTTTACTCATACATCCATTCTGGGGCAAAGCTAGTAAACCCATCCTAATTTTTTATTTTTGGAAAATATTTCTTTGATGCAGCTGTGGTTTTCTATAATCTGAAATAGTCACCTTTTGACCCCATGACCTACAAAATTAGTCATCATTGCCTGAATAAATGAAAAAGTATTTTAAATCAACACAGGTAAGAATCTAGCCTAAATTGAGAGCAACCCCCAACCAGTCAAATTCCAGAAAACCCACCTTTTCAAAATACCACTAAAAAGGAAAAAAATCTTTGATGTTAGAAATTCTTCAAGAGGATATTCACATAAAAAAAGAGAAAATATTCATTTATGTGTGTGGTAGTTTCACAAAGTTGAATTTGTGTGGCATCTGTAATGCATGTTTGATTGTATATACTTCTTCTCTAACCTTTCCACTCTTCTTAGGTCAGTGAGACTTTATTCAAAAGTATTCTTTTCTATTTTTGTTTCATTTTTAAAAGACAATTTTCCGGAGTTTACAAACCTTCTCCCCATCACCACTGTAACTGCAACATTTTAGATGTGTTTGCAGGCTGACATCAAAAAATTTTCTCCAAAGTATTCCAAAAAATTAAAATTTAGGGCTGCCACTCTACACTGTTTTACAAAACACTTAAAAACAACAGCAAGAGGACCAGGCGCTTGGACTATACGCTATCGCCCCACCCCTCATCAGCTTCAGTTTAACTAAACACACATTAGATACTTACATACTGTGTTCTGTGTGTGAATTACTCCTTTACCTCAACGTCAAATATTTATAAATTCACTCCTTTAGCTAAGAACTGGTGCCTGGTTTGAAATATTTTAAATAATTTAGTACAATTGAACCTTGTTATAAAACCCAGCTCTTCTGTGTATCTGAATACTTTCCAGGTCAGATTGAGCCCCAAACACCAATCCATATAGAAGTAATCCTTTAGGGAGAACTAACATCCTCCCTAAGGGATACTAATGTCAGAAGGGAACAAATGTTATTTATTGGAATATATATGTATATGTGTATATATGTGCATATACATATACACACATATTATATTATGTGTGTGCGTGTGTGTATATATATATTTGGGGAGAGAGAGAGAGAGTGACTGACAGATAGATGTGGAAGGAGGGAGAGAAGTTCTATTTTTTTCCCTTTAGGAAATCATGTTTCCTCTGGCCATGGGCAATTTTCATAATCTGGAGTCTACTTATCCCATTTTCTACTACCAAGGCCCCCAATATTCAAAACTTGTTTGCCAAACATGGAAAAGACAACAAAATACACCAACTTGAGAATGTCCAGGACTAAAACCTAAAGCATGCTTTAGAATGGCTGCCCAGCTAAATGGCTTTTTCAAGATTCACTGACCTGCACTTTGGCTTCAGTCAAATCCAGGCGTCCTGCAAGCTGCTCCCTGAGGGGGAAAATCGCAAATGTTCAGTATTTGGAGTTGTAGATAAAATGAAATACACGGATGAACATTATTTCTATCCCCCACCTCCCAGTGCAGTTTTCTGTAAAACAGTTGAGGCTTGCTTTAGGGAGGGTTTTCCCATGGACAACTTAGCTGTTAAAATAAGATAGAAAAAAAGGAATATATGTGAAAGTGCTTGGTAGTATTATTCGTATCTTGTATTATTTGTATCTTCAGTTTGTGGAACAGAAGAGAACCGCCCTGGTCATCTTTTCTTGGGAGGTCCCTCCGTGAAAATAAATAAAATTCCAAAACACCTTTAAAGCACTATTTTGAACCAGAGTTATTTCTGATTATTGTAAAAGGGAGAGGTGAACTTTCAAGGAGGGAACTCCAAACCACTTTAGCCAAGCGCGCCCTAGGGAAATTCTTTTTTCCACTCTTTGGCGGGCGAAGGCTGAATACAGCGAAGCCAGAAAGAGCGTCCCGAAACTCCACACCGAGCTGTCCTGGTTCCCCATTCCAACCGGGCCAGAATAGGCCTGTCCCTTCGTATACTACGGGGATCACGATCATAAAGGCTCCAGGGCAAGCTAGCAAAGGGAAGGGGGTCGCTGGCTTCGGAAAGCTGAAAACTCTGCCGCCTGGTTGTAAAAGCGCGCTCCACGTGGCAGGACCGTTACTAGAGTGAGGCGAGAGACGCGCTCGCCTAGCGCGCAAAATTTAAAGGGAGCTAAGAAACTCAATAATCAAGAAAAATAATATTTTAATGCAATATTCAAAAATACCAAAATTAATGCAAAAATGCAGGATGAACAAACTACCAAAGTTTTAAATAAAAGCAGGACCCGACCCTGCTGCAGCTGCTAACATCCTAGTCCCGCCCCTACCTTACAGCACCGCTCCCTCCACGCCCCCTCCCCACCGAGACCAAGGGCGGGCTTGGCGCCCTTGAGCCTCGTGCGTGGCTTTTGGCTCCTGAATGGGGGAAGGGGTCCCGGGAGAGAGTCCGAAGACGCCCGCGGGAAGAGCCCAACCCCCCTCCGCCCAGAAGGGGTCCCGGGAGAGTCCGAAGGCGCCCGCGGGAAGAACCCAACGCCCCCCTCCGCCCAAAAGGGGTCCCGGGATAGAGTCCGAAGGCGCCCGCGGGAAGAACCCAACCCCCCTCCGCCCAGAAGGGGTCCCGGGAGAGAGTCTGAAGGGGCCCGCGGGAAGAACCCAACCCCCCTCCGCCCAGCAAGCCACTTACCGTGCAGTCACGTCGGGGTATTGAACGTTACGGAAAAAATTCTCCAGCTCCAGCTGCTGCACCTGGGTGAACGCGGTGCGGGAGTGACGCCGCTTCCTCTGCCGGGGCTGTGTCCCCTCCGCCGCCGCCGCCGCCGCCGCCGCCGCCGCCGGGGGATCCGGCTCCACCTGCTGTTCCTCGGGCTCCTGGCCGGACCCCTCTTCCACCTGCTGTTGCTCGGGCTCCTGGCCGGACCCCTCTTCCACCTGCTGTTGCTCGGGCTCCTGGCCGGACCCCTCTTCCACTTGCTGTTGCTCGGGCTCGTGGCCGGACCCCTCGGTGCCAGGGTTGTCTTCTGCTCCTGCTCCGTCCTCAGGTTCGGACCGTGGACCCTCGTCTTCTCCCATCCCAATCATCAGCGAGGCCACGTTAGGCTTCACATCTGGGAAGGGAGGAAAGCAAAAGAGAGAGACCAGGGTGTTGGAACCTCCGGCGCGCGGGCAGGAGGCGAGGGACCGCTATGTTAGAGCAGCGGCGACGACCGCGCAGCATTCCGTCCACTCGCGTCTCCCAAGGAAAGTTCTTCTCCTGGAGTTCGCGCAAACACCTGTCCCTACCCAGGCACTGACCCGGCAATTCTTCCCAGTCAGGGCCGACTCCCAGGCTGCGGCATCTGACGCCATAGGGGCTGAGTCCGTAATCGGACTCCATGCCTTTAAGTGCTGTCGAAGAAGCTGTGCGCTTCTGCGGACTCTGCGCTGGAGTCCGCGGCGACGGCGATCCCGGGACTCCAGCTAGAGCCAGCTAGAGCGGGACCGACCGCGAGGCCGCGCGCTCTCCAGGCGCCGGGACCTCTTTCTGGCGCGATTTGGGACGTGCGCTCTTATATATAGGTACGGTACGTACCCGTATAGCGTACGCGCTGGCGCCCAAAACACGCCCTCTATTGGCATTCGCCCTATGTCTAGTTCATGGGAGTGGGACCCGATGGGGGGCGCACAGGCGACCAGGGAGTATAAAGAAAATAGGGCGAGTGTGTGCGAGAGTGGTGCTGGCAATGGGCATACTGTGCGGGGAAGGGTGGCTCCGATTTGCAGCTTAACTACTCTCAAATAGGGCAGAGTCCTTGATTGAAGGATGGGGGTGTCCTGGAGTGTGAACACCGATTTGGGGGCGGAGGGGCTCGAAACTACACATTAGCTCCTGGAGCCCGGGGAGAAGGGTCTAGACAGTGTTCCTCCGCCCAACCCTCGATGTTCCGCAGCCTGCGCGTGGCGCGGTGTTCTTTGCTTCCCGAAAGAAAAGAGAGGTAGGGCTAGGGAAAATGCGGGGCGCTCAGCAGCCCAAGCATGCTAAAGCGAAGTTGTGAGTCTACCCTGCATTGGGCTCTGAGCATGATTTTCCCTTCCTAGAATGTAGTGACTAATGGATAGGACTGTCCAGGTCTGTACAGTTCGCGCCCAAAGTTCACGCGTAGATCGTGCTAGTGATAAGGTGCAATGATTGGCTAGGAGGCTGTTTGCTCTGGGTTTTAAAAATCAGAGCCCACCGTGCAACCCGCGCAACCCGTGCAACCCGGGAGCGGGAGTTTGAGGCTGGGTTTGCATGCAGTCCAGCTGCTCAGATGCACGCTGCAAGGAACCCCACGTGCCTCTTGAGAACACTCTGAGAACTTAAGATTTTTAGTAACAAACTCAGGTCAGAGTGCAAATATAGAAATTTACCAAGTGCTTAGTGCATCCAAGAATGCTTATGCTACAGGGTCACCCTCCTTTGCTTCCTGGCATTTGCAACGTTTGCTGCGCTTCTTACAGTAGCACGCTTTGCAGAAGCCGGCTCTGCAGGCGCCAAAAGCGCGCGCGTATTCCCGGGTCCAGGCGTGTGCTGCAGACCTGGGAGAGTTCCCGCCTTCCCCACTACCACTTTCTTCTCCTCTCCGTCCCTTTTCTTTTCTTTTTTTGGAGACAGAGTCTCACTCTTTTTGCCTGGGCTAGAGTGCCGTGGCGTCAGCCTAGCTCACAGCAACCTCAAACTCCTGGGCTCAAGCGTCCTTCTGCCTCAGCCTCCCGAGTAGCTAGGACTACAAGCATGCGCCACCATGCCCGGCTAATTTTTTCTATATATTTTTAGTTGTCCGATTAATTTCTTTCTATTTTTAGTAGAGACGGGGTCT